TGCTGCTGAGGGGGAAGCAGCAGACGCCAACCCAGTGGAGAGAGCAGCAGCAGAACAGACAAACACTACAGCTGCTGCGGCGCGACCTGCTTCACACATTGCAATTGCTGATGCTACTGAAGCAACTGCGCCAGCAGCAGCAGCAGCAGCAGCAGAAGCGGCAGCAGCAGCAGCAACCCCTGAGGATGCCGCAGCTTCCACGTCTCCAGCAGCTCCAGACAGTGCAAATGACGCAGCGTCAGTATCAGCGGCGCCAAACGCAGCAGCAGCAGCAGCAGCAGCAGCAGCACAAGCACCAGCAGCAGCACCAGCACAAGCACCAGCAGCAGCAGCAGGAGCAGCACAAGCGCCAGCAGCAGGAGCAGCAGCAGCAGGGGGCAGCAACAAAGGGGCTGCTGCACCCAAAGCAGCAGCGGGCTACTCCCGCCGCCGGGCGCTCGGAGCTGCAGCGCGGGTGCTGCTGAAGTTTATTCTTTTTGATCAAAACTTTTTCGAATTGGCCAAAGAGGGATTGCCCAGGAAGCAGCAGGCCCTTGCGGAGGCGCTCAGCAGGCAGTGCCTCGAGGCGCTGCAGCCGCATGCAGCAGCAGCACCTGCGGCGCCACCCAGCAGCAGCAGCAGCAGCAGCAGCAGCAACGGCAGCAGCAACGGCAGCAGCAGCTGCTGCAGCGGCAGAGGCAGCGGCCACGGCAACGGCGCCGGCATGGCAAGCTGCAACGGGACCGGCAGCAACAACAGCAGCAGCAACAGCAGCAACAGCAGCAGCAGCAACAGCAGCAGCAGCAGGATGGAGGCACGCAGAGCCCGGCGGCGCGCTGGGCGGCGGCTGCGGCTGGGCTCGCAGCTGGCGAGGTGCGCAGCAAGCTTGCTGTTTGGCTTATTTTGTTTATTAGTTTAAATAAATAAATATATTTATTTATTTATTTATTTATTTATTAATTAATTGATTAATGACAGCTAATTGGCGCAGCAAAGGGCGATTTATAAAGAGGAGCTGAGCCAACAGGCGGCGCTGCTTCAGCTGCTGCTGCAGCACAAGTTATCTAAGCAGCCATTTGAATTAATTCTTTTTAAAAAGGTAATTTAAAATTTAATTATTTTTTAATTCAATATTTTATTTTATTTGGGGCTTCTTGTCTTTCAATTGATGGCTTTTGGCTCAAGTATTTGCATTATTGATTTAAATTAACAGGGCCTCTGGGGCTCCATATCGCCTGCAGCGGCTAAACCCTAAACCCTAAACCCTAGGCAGCAGCCCTCAGGGCCTCGAAGTTCTCCTGCAGCTGACTGGCTTTGGGGTTTAGGGTGTAGGGTTTAGGGTTTACGGCGGAATCTTTGTGCTGCAGTGCGCTGCTTGCCTTTGGGGTTTAGGGTTTAGGGTTTAGGGTTTAGGACCGAGGGTTTAGGCGTGCTGCATCTTTGCTGCAGAGAGCTGCTACCAGGCTTCGAGGCGCTGCTGCTGCGTCACAGCCGCTGCCCCTATTTGCTGCTGCTGTCGAGACACTGCAAGGTCCCCCCCGAGGCCCGCCGAGCAGCTGCGCGCCCTGCTGCAGCTTCCCGCAGCAGCAGCAGCAGCAGCAGCACGACCAGCAGCGGCAAGGCCAGCAGCAGCAGCGGAAACAGCAGCAGCAGCAGCAACACCAGCAGCAGTAGCAGCAGCAATGCTGGCAGCAGCAGCAGCAGCAAACCCCTTTCAGAAGAGCCGCCAGCCCTAGACTGGGCTGTGCCAACAGCCCGTGTTGCTGCTTTTGCTGCTGCTGCTGCTCAGCAAGTGGTGCCCCCCTGCCTCTTGGGGTGTACGTACAACTACCGGCTTTTCCTGCAGCGAGTCCGCCAGTTTGTTTGCCTCAACTCCACAGAGACTCTCACAGTTCACCAGCTCATGCACCGCATGCAAACTGCAGCACCGAAGCGGCAGCGAGCAGCAGCAGCAGCAGCAGCAGCAGCAGCAGCAGCAGCAGCAGCACGGGCAGCAGGAGCAGCAGCAGCAGCGGCAGAAGAGGGGAGCACCAGCGAGCCACAGAGGCGCGTCCTGCCGTGCAACGGTTTCCAAGGTGAAATGGAGGTGCAGGAGCAGCAGCAGCAGCAGCAGCAGCAGCAGCTGTCGCGGCGCCACTTGCGCCTGCAGCAGCAGGAACGCAAGCATTTTCTGGAGCGGCTTATTTTCTTTTTGTTTTCCCATTTCATTGTCCCTCTCTTGCGGTGAGCTCTAGATGCCCTCATTTGAGTCTGCAGTTGCAGCAGCAGCAGCAGCATCAGCACAGCAGCAGCAGCTGCTGCTGCTGCTGCTGCTTGTCTTCCTGCTTAGCTTTGACTAGATCAAGTGCAGCGACACAAACTGCCTTATCACTCTTGCTGCTGCCTGCACCTTCCTCCTAACTAACTGCGTGTGGAGCAACCCCACAGAAGCCCTAATTAGGGTTTAGGGTTTGGGATTTAGGGTTTCAGGTTCAAAGGGTTTGGGGTTAAGGGTTTGAGGTTTAGGCCTTTGGGTTATATCAGCCTCTACAGGGAGCCACAAAGAGTCCTACCGCAGTTTGCCTATCTTGCCTTTGCTGCTGCTGCCGCTGCTGCTGCTGTTGCTGCTGCTGCTGTTGCTGCTGCTGCAGCTGTCACTTTTACGTGACGGAGGCTGAGTCTTCTCAGCGGCGGTCTCGCTTTTACCGAAAGGGAGTTTGGTTTCGAATTGAGTCTGCTGCTTCTGCTCGTTTGTACGCCCAGTGCTTCCAGCCACGCGCAGCCAGCCCTGCTGCTGCTGCTGCTGTTGCTGCTGCTGCTGCTGTGGCGGCAGCAAGTGACGCAGCAGGGCACGAGCAGGATGCACAGGACGCTCCTGTTGCCCCCAGCAAACGGCAAATTGCTGCTGGCAGCACAGAGGGCCCCAAGGGCCCCAAGAGGCTTTGGCTAGCAGGGCCAGAAAGCAGCAGCAGCAGTTGCTGCTGCTGCAGCAAGCCATGCAGCAGCAAACGATGCAGCAGCGCGGGCCCCGGTTGCAGCACGCATAGCCCTTGTGTGGCCAGCAGCAGCAGCAGCAGCAACAGCAGCAGCAGCAGGAAGCGACGCAAGACGGAGACCCCTTCCCAGAGCCCTGATGACCTGGAGTCTATTGTTGAGGCTGTCTCCGCGGTGACTGCGCCTTCAGGCGCAGCAGCAGCAGCAGCAGCACCGCCACTTTGTCTCGATGCTGCTGCTGCTGCAGCAATCCCCCGAATTCGCTTTATTCCCAAGGTCCGCGGCTGCAGGCCGCTGGTGAATCTATCAAGGGGCCCCAGCGGGGCCCACTTAGCGCGTTTGCTGCTGCAGGTGCAGCAGCAGCTCGCCACCATCCGTCAGCAGCAGCAGCAGCAGCAAGAGGCTTGCTGTTCGGCGCCCGCTGGCGCGCGGTTCCCGCCCTGCAGCGGGCGCTCCAGGCAGCTGTTACCATCAGCAGCAGCAGCGTGCGCCGCAGCAACAGGCGCCGCAGCAGCAGCAAGCGCAGCAGCAGCGGGGAGTGCAGGAAGCGCAGCAGCAGCAGCAGGCGCCGCGGGGGCCTCCACGTACGGCGACTACCTGCGGCGGCTGCTGCAGGCGGAGTGCAGCAGCGCGCAGCTGCTGCAGACGTCTGCTGCAGCGCAGCGGGAGCGCAGCGGGGCGCAGCTGCTGCGGCCGTGTCCTGCAGCGCAGCGGGAGGGCAGCAGCGCGCAGCTGCTGCGGCCGCGTGCTGCAGCGCAGCGGGAGCGCAGCAGCAGCTTGTCAGTGAACTCCGTGCTGCGCCCCATCTGCCAACACTTGTCTTGTTTGTGTCGCTTCAGTTCGGAAGCTTTGGGCTGTTCAGTAATGTCGAATTCTGAGGTGTACGTACACCTCACGGCCTGGTGGCGGCGCTACCAAGGCCGGCTGCGGCTGCTGCGCCGTTTGCTGCAGCAGCAGGGGCCCTGCTGCGGCCTGCGCCGGGTGTACATACACCGCATGCAGCAAATTGTCGGAGACCTCAGCCGCTGCTTCGAAAGCATTTCCCACGAAGAGCTGCAGCAGCTCGTGCTGCTGCTGCAGCTGCCGCCCCACACCCACAGGCTGCAGGCCTACCGCCGCATCACCACCCCGGGGGCCATTTACACCGTCCCCAGCAAGGCAGCAGCAAAGCCAGCAGCAGCAGCAACAGCAGCAGCAGCAGCAGAGCAGCAGCGCCTGGGGGTCTCTACTTTTGGAGTTCTTGATGAGTTTTGTGTCCCTCCGCTGCCAAATGGTCTTTTGCCGCGGCTGTCTTGTCTTTTAAGAAGACAAACAAATCAGCAAAGACTCAAACGCAGCAGCAGCAGCTCGCCGAGAGCAGCAAAACGCGCGCGCGCAGCTGCCCCCGCAGCGCAGGCTTCCCCCGCAGCAGCAGCAGCAGCAGCGGCTGCTGCTGCTGCTGACGCTGCAGCTCCCCCATCACCGGCGGCGCCTGCAGCACTTGCTGAGGCTGCAGCAGCAGACACAGTCTGCTCAAGTGCTGCTGGGCATTCCGTGAAGGGCCCTCCCCTGCAGCAGCAGGAGAGGCCCCTAGAGCTGCGGAGGCACGGCATGCAGCAGCAGCAGCAGCAGCAGCAGCAGCAAAGCACATGCAGCAGCGAAGTGTCGACATCCCTGTGTGTTCGGCGTTTGCTGCTGCGGGGCTCCTCGGCGGGGGGCTGCGCCTTCGTGGCCCCGCAG